TATGGAAGTGATCCGTGGAACTCTCATAGTAGTAGTAGGAACACAACCAGCAGGCCACTCAAACCACCTTGGCCTGCAAGACACTGAGGTACTTAGCCTTTGGTGGCTGAGTAGTCCACCATAATCAATCCAGCTGATGACAGACTCCATTTGATTATAGACACTGAAGTAGTTATTTTTCTGTTGCTGTAATAAAATGCCCCTATCAAAGGCAACTTATGGAAGAAAGAGTATATTTAGGCTTACCATTGCACCATAATGGTGGAAGAGGCATGACAGCAGGCAGCAGAACAAGAAGCTGAGAGATCACATCTTCAATAGCAAAAACAAAGCAGAAAGAACAAAGTGGAAGTAAGGCAAGGCTATAAACTCTGAAATCCCACCCCCAGTGACATACTTCCTCTAGCAAGGCTATACCATATTTCCAGATAGCACCACCAACTGGGAACCAAGTGTTCAAATATCTGAACCTATAATTTTTCAAACCACAAATACCTTCCAGGTTATCCCAGAAAGCTCTGGAAATATCCTAATTCTTCATGTTTATCATTATATGACAAAGATTGGACATTAATAACTAGCCTATGGATACTTAGATACCTAAGTGCCAGGAATAGAAAATAAGAACCTACAACTCATATATGCTTTGTTGAAGATAGCTATCACAGATGTATGGTTTGTTCATTGTGTTGGGTTTTGGTCCTATCACAAGTGTATCTGTGAGGCAGACCTATGAGTTCATAACATGTATTGTTTTGTGTGTACAAAGATAATTGGTTTAACCTGGTTTGGGGATGACCAGTAGTTCGTTCTTTATAGCTTTTTCATCCCTTGGTATCAATCTCAATAGTTGCTTTCAAATTGTTAGTGTCAAATAGTTTGCCTAGGCTTCCCTTTATAATGTAACCCTTGTACATGGTAATAAAATGAGTCAAGAGGTTGTTGTGGGGAAAAGCAGAGCAAGCAGAAGAACCCCCAAGGAAAGTATTTTTTTGTGATGTTAGTTCAACTTTTCATATTTCTGCTCTGCATAATAAAAACTAATGATAAAAATTAGCAATAAACAGCACCTCTTATAACCCATAGATCAGGGGCCCTGCTCCTTCCCTCCTGAAACCTACAACAGATCTAGCATTTGTTTTGGGACTCTGTTTGGATTACTCATCATTAAGTCAGAAAGGGTTTATCTAATACCATTTGAAGAATGTCCAGTGATGTCAGCTC